CAACAAAAAGGTTGAGAAACCTTTCATGTGTCAAAGGAAACATGCTGTTGACATACATACAGATCTGTCAGCGGCTGCATGAAAAGCAGAACAGGAAGAGATGTAAGAGATACGTGTTGGAGGAGATAACGGAGAACAATGAAAGTCACTTAGAGTTTGTCAGTCTTGTAAGATCTCAGGTCCCCTCAGAGGTCAGCTGATGGACAGAGGAGATTTCTAGTGATGGGCGATACTTGTTGGGAACATATTGTTATCTCTGCATAATCCATTTCTCCAGGGTCAGTTTGTGAACTGAAAACAAAAAGGTTGAAGAACTCTTGACCACAGTTCATACTTCACTAAAGCGATTAAACTCTTTACAAGAGCCTGATGACAGTGTGAAAATGAACTAATAAAAGAAAGTGAACATAAATCCCAGGAGACACATGACCAGACGATCAGCCCCTTCAACCATTAACTTTCCACAACCTTATTTTACCATCCTTCACTTTGGTCTGTGGTCACATGTTTGGAGCAGGAGCATCTGAATACTCAGTGCCTCGTGAGCGGAGGAAGTGAGACGGAGTTAGTGGGAAGGGGAGACAAAACAAGTGAGCAATAACTCAACGTGGTGGAGGTGGGGGCGTTCTCCTCTCCCCTAGCAGAAAGACTTCTTTTATGTTTAGGCAGCTTTTATTTTGATGCAACTAGTAGTTTTACTTAAGCAAGATTTTGAATGCAAGACCTTTACCTGTAAGTAGTTGAGTACTTCTACTTTTACTTAAGTAAAGGATCGGAGTACTGAATACTGTCACTGGAGATTTATATATATACCTTTAAATGGGAAGGTGACGGGGACACCAGTGAGGATGTGTCCTCTGTGAAGTTGGTGCAGGTCTTCAGATGCACAGCTGCAGCTGTTAGACAAGTGCGCTGTTGCCATGGTAACCTGACCTTCATGTAGAGGAAACAGCTGCAGAGAGACAACCGTCTCTGTCCTCATTTGACTCTCTTGTCGAGGACAAGGTGATGCCTGTCATCCAGCGTCTTCTCTCTAAAGTCTGATTGATGTGGGACCTGGATCAGGACCCCTTGTGGTCTCAGACAGGGAGTGTATCTGGTATCAGTTTACATGTATGTGTCACAGGGGCCATTTCTGTGGACGGGCCTCCCAGTGAACCAGGAAGCAGACAGCGGTTAGGCCGTTAGGGAGGGACTAATCACTGATATTGACTGGCGTTTACAGCAGCCAATAGCAGCCAGTCCATCAGGAAACTCTGTGAATCACAGAGAGTTGAAGCCAGAGGACGTCAGAGGGAAAACAGTTTCACCAAAATCACTGAGTCCAGTTATAAAGTGGTGTTTGTACAGTACTCAGTGAGGCCACAGATGTCCCTCAGAAACACTCCGCTCATTGGACACAGCATTAGTACACGCCCCTGAGTGCAAGATGAGTCATCAAATAATTTTATTGTTTTTCAGGAAACTCTAAAATACCTTTAAGAACACCTGAAAACACCTGGAACAGGACTTTTCTGGGGCGCACCTGGTAGAGCGGGCGCCACGTGTGACAAGGTCCAGAAGCAATGAGTTCGACTCCCCCCATCTCTCTCTCTCTCTCTCTCTGTCTCCCCCTTCCTGTAGCTCTTCAGCTGTCAATATCAATTAAAAGCAATAAAGGCCCAATATATACATATATATATATATATAGATTTATATATATGTATATATATAAAGACTTTTCTGTCATTGTTGGGGTGACTTAAAGCACAAGGTGTGTGATAAAAACACTTAAAGATACATTTTTAAGGTGGTTTTGATGATGAGAGAGCCCCTAGTGGCAGAAATGACATATTGTAGGTGTAACAGCTTTGCTATGTGGTGTTAAAATCATCCCTCCATCAGATACAGTGTGGCTGCTGTCTGCTGGCATAAAGAATAAAAGTCAATGTGGTGATAATGAGGCTGAACCTGACCTCGGTCAGCGTTTTGTTCCTGCAAATTGTGGCAGAGTGAGACGTCTGTGTTGTTGTTGTTTTTTGCGATCTTTGGAGCCCAACCGACAGAGAGATAGAGAGAGAGACAGAGAGAGATAGAGAGAGATAGA